TAGGATTACAGGCGTGAGCCACCGCGCCTGGCCTGAGATACAGTTTTGAAGGTACTTTTAAAAATCTCTGTATCACATTTTTCCCCATCAGATATTTCCCAGACTTACCTCAATGAATTAAGGATTTCTTTCTTTTTTCCTTTTTTTTTGCCCCCCAAGACAGAGTCTCGCTCGTCATCTGGGCTAGATGGGCTAGAGTGCCGTGGCATCAGCCTAGCTCACAGCAACCTCAAACTCCTGGGCTCAAGCAATCCTTCTGCCTAAGCCTCCCGGGTAGCTAGGACTGCAGGCATGCGCCACCATGCCCAGCTAATTTTTTCTATATATTTTTAGTTGTCCAGCCAATTTCTTTCTATTTTTTAGTAGAAATGGGGTCTCGCTCTTGCTCCGGCTGGTCTCGAACTCCTGAGCTCAAACGATCCTCCCTCCTCAGCCTCCCAGAGTGCTAGGATTACAGGCATGAGCCACCGTGCCCAGCCCTTAATCTACATCTCGACCAATACTTTGCATCGTACAACTTTATATTTTTGCCAAAATGGTATTGCATTGTGGTTTTAGGTTGCATTTTCCGTATTAGAAATGAGGCTGTATGTTTATATGTTTTCTTTGGCTATTTACATTTCTTTTTTTCTTTTTTGAGAGAGTCTCGCTCTGTCTGTCACCCTGGCTAGAGTGCAGTGGCATCATCACAGCTCGCTGCAACCTCAAACTCCTAGGGTCAGGTGATTCTCCTGCCTTAGCCTCCAAAGTATCTGGGACTACAGTCGCGTGCCACTATACCTGGTTCATTTTTCTATTTTTTGTAGACGGGGTCTTGCTCTTGCTCAGGATGGTCTTGAACTCCTGGCCACAAGTAGTCCTCTGCCATGGCCTCCCAGGGTGCTAGAATTACAGGCGTGAGCCACCACGCTGGGCCATATATTTCTTATTCTGTAGAATTCTCATTCATGTCTTTTGCCCATTTTTTGTTTGTTTTCTTTTCAGGTCTTCCAGTGAGAACCAGAAAACCTGATAGACAAATTCTAGAAGAACTATAACTTTTTGCCCATTTTATGTCTGGTAGCTTGTTTCCTGTTAATTTTTAGGAGTCCTTTATATAATATGGATATTAATTTTCTCGGTTATATGAATGATGTATAGTTGTGGGATACTTATCCTTGAATTTTGAATGTTTTATCTTTGGCATTGATTAGAAAACATGCCATTTCTTCAAAGGAAGCAGAATTTTTTATATTAGACTGGGAAGTATAGAATACATGGTTCAATAAAGAAAAGAAGGGAAATAGTGATGGCATATTTCCTATGACCTTCCTGAAAATAGCCCATATTCAGCTCACTAGCCTGTATGCTTGGTCCATAATGCTCCCATTCAATGTTTTTAAGCAGAGATGCTGAGAGAAGTCATTTTTGCCTAACATGCAGCCTTTTTCCTTAGGTGGATGATGACTTTACAGCCCAAGATTACAGGCTCCAGTTCTGTAAATGTACTTCAAATCATTTCGAGGATGTATATGTAGGTTCGGAAACTGAATTCATAGTGTTGCACATAGACCCCAATGTTGATTATCAGTTCAGAGTCTGTGCCCGAGGAGATGGCCGACAGGAGTGGAGTCCGTGGAGCGTCCCCCAGATAGGGCATTCCACATTGGTGCCTCACGGTATGTTGTTACCTTCTCACTCCCAAAGCTTAACTATATATTAGAACACTTGTATTCTGTGCTAAGGATGCTATACTGACAACCTTTTTTCTAGAGCAAAATCCTGAATTGATAAGAACAACAGGGAGCATATCTTTTACTCATATTACTTCATTTGATTTTGTTTTCATCGGTTCTTACATTGAGAGTCCAAAAATAATGCTAGACGGATTTTTAGCATCACCTAAAACCAAAGATTGAAAATATTGCATAGGATACTGATTTTCCAAACCCTCAAGAAGTATCTGGAGAGAGGCATTTTGTTAAAAGTCTTGTGATTTGAAATTAATCTCTTTCCTGCATTACTATTTTAAAAGATGTAGATTCACTTATTATTTCTTAATTGGGATGGAATAAGCTCGAACCATGGTTTTATTAGATAGGAGGTAACACTTGATTTTCCGTGCCACGATTGTGCAGGAATATACTAAGATCTTTTTTGTAATTTGTTAGACTGACCATGATACCCTATTACTGAATTTTTTAGTTTATTGAACTTGTCCATGACCCCTAAAAGTAGTCTCTTTCCCATCTAAGTTTTATTTAATATGTCTGAAGATAATTCCTCAAAAGATTCTAATAATTTTCAATATCTTTGCTTTTTAAAAAGAGTGGACAGCTGGTTTTGAGGGTTACAGTCTGAGCAGTCGAAGAAATATAGCACTCCGGAATGATTCTGAATCCTCAGGTGTTCTCTACTCCAGTGCTCCAACTTATTTCTGTGGGCAGACGTTGACATTCAGGCAAGTAGATACTAAAGCATCTGTCATGCCTTAGGTAGCACAGTGAAGTGCGTAGAGCATGCATGAGATTGGAATTCAAAATATCTTCAGTTTATTTCATCATTGATAGGCAGTATTATTTTGGGAAAGTTTCTTTATTTCTCTCTGCTTCAGTTTTCTCATCTGTATTCAGAGGGCTATTATGTAGATTAACTGAGAAATGTATATAAAATGCTTGATAATATGTTTATGTCTCTTTTCCTCTTGGTAAGTAGAAGTAAATGGAATCTTTCTCAAAAGTTAATTTTAAA